GGTGGTACTAGTACCATGCTGGTGGTGCTAGTACCATGCTAATGGTGCTAGTACCATGCTGGTGGTACTAGTACCATGCTAGTGGTGCTAGTACCATGCTGGTGGTACTAGTACCATGCTAGTGGTGCTAGTACCATGCTGGTGGTACTAGTACCATGCTGTTGGTACTAGTACCATGCTAGTGGTACTAGTACCATGCTGGTGGTACTAGTACCATGCTAGTGGTGCTAGTACCATGCTGGTGGTGCGTATTCTGGTATCAGACTCACGTAGGCTATTTAGAATTGCCTTTCGTGAGATTTTGGTGTTATGGTGGTGTTGATGGGTTAGCTTGAAATCTTGAAATGATTTCGGGGCTTAGCATACCCGCGGCCCGGTCATCGACTAGGCCCCCAAAACAGGGGTGGTGGTGGTAGTGTTGATGTTAATGAGGGGTGGTTGTGGTAGTGTTGACACCTGTGTCGGGAGTGGTAGTGGTGGTGGAGCCGATGGTGACGTGGGAGATGGTGGTGGTGGTGGTGGTGGTGGTGGTGGTGGTAGGGGTTGGGGGGGGGGGCGGGGGTTCTATCAAGGCCTAAAGTTCTCAGTCTGCTGTTCCCATTATTCCCCCCAATTATACCCCTCCTCCTTAATTGCGGTCATTAACACCATTTAGTCCAACCACCTCCCCCCCCCTCCCAATACACCACCCGGCTTATCTTCCTGTTAGTTCACCTAAACGCTTGTGCACTCTCACTCACTCACTCACTCACGCACTCGTATACTCACTCACACTCATTAATTATCCCTCAGTCACCAACATTAATTCACACTCATTCATGCACTCACAATGAATTATCCACACACACACACACACACACAAACACACACACACACACACACACGCTTGCACGCGCGACCAATTGCGCTTGTCTAGTGTCATTAAGTAAGCCATTGAGAAACAGCTGCTCCTCGACCTGTTGTATTTCTGTATCCGGCTCTCGTCTCCACGTGTTATACAATCACCAACCATGACGCTCATGGAGCACAAGATTGGTGTGGGGTGAACTGATATATATCAACAACAATCGAGCCACAATATCGATCATTACTGTTATCTTAAACCTGACGAGAGGCAAACACTGAGTGGTCATTACGGCCAACACTGAGTGGTCATCAAGGCCAACACTGAGTGGTCATCAAGGCCAACACTGAGTGGTCATCAAGGCCAACACTGAGTGGTCATCAAGGCCAACACTGAGTGGTCATCTGCAGATACACCTGCAAGAGTTGCAGATGTATCTGTTGCAGGAGGACGTCTTGGGGCCTCCAAGAAAAATATCAAGAAGTCTACGGAATGATAACCCACATGTAACTACTACTGGGGCCACGACTATTCGTGTGTTGCAACTCATCTTTCATCATAAACTCATCACCGAAACCTGATGAGTGTCTGCTCCTCGATGCACTTGTAGTGGTAGAAAGCTGCTCTCAAGAAACCATCAGTTACAAAGGATAAAACTGACTCCTGAATTAACATTAAAATCACTCGTCGAATTCTTCACATAAGAAATGTTTGTTAGCTGCTGGAAGGGTTGATAAGTTTGCTGTATTCACTGATACATGTTACAGCTGAGCCTTGACAACGGCTCTTTCACAACTGGGCCCTCACAGTTGGTCCTGTATATCTGGACCCCAATAGCTGGGGAACTAGCAGCTGGACCCTCACAAGTGGACCCCTCACCATCTGAGGGGTGAGGTGAGGTGAGGAGAGTCTGGTTCCAGACACTGTATCACCACACAACTCTCCCAGAGGGAATGGATTGGTGTCATCTTTCAGCAAGACCTTGAACTTAAATGTTTCTTATTGATCACAATATATTCTTGGAGAGTAACAATGCAATTCCTGGTAATCCTTCAGCCTAATCGTCGTCCCTGGTCATGGCAACCCACACCTTACTGGAGGTGGCGACCCACCCCCTACTGGACGTGGCGACCCACCCGCTACTGGAGGTGGCGACCCACCCGCTACTGGAGGTGGCGACCCACCCGCTACTGGTGGTGGCGACCCACCCGCTACTGGAGGTGGCGACCCACCCGCTACTGGAGGTGGCGACCCACCTCCCTACTGGACGTGGCGACCCACCCGCTACTGGAGGTGGCGACCCACCCGCTACTGGAGGTGGCGACCCACCCGCTACTGGAGGTGGCGACCCACCCCCTACTGGAGGTGGCAACCCACCCGCTACTGGAGGTGGCGACCCACCCGCTACTGGAGGTGGCAACCCACCCGCTACTGGAGGTGGCGACCCACCCGCTACTGGAGGTGGCAACCCACCCGCTACTGGAGGTGGCGACCCACCCGCTACTGGAGGTGGCGACCCACCCGCTACTGGAGGTGGCGACCCACCCCCTACTGGAGGTGGCAACCCACCCCCTACTGGAGGTGGCGACCCACCCGCTACTGGAGGTGGCGACCCACCCCCTACTGGAGGTGGCGACCCACCCCCTACTGGAGGTGGCAACCCACCCGCTACTGGAGGTGGCAACCCACCCGCTACTGGACGTGCCGACCCACCCCCTACTGGAGGTGGCGACCCACCCCCTACTGGAGGTGGCGACCCACCCGCTACTGGAGGTAGCAACCCCTTCCCAAACTTGAGGTAGCGACCCAACGTCCCATCTCTCGCACACATAATTACTCGCACACTCTGGCAGCCTTCACAAGAGTGTTACACCAAGATAACAGCCAAGGCTATAACACACGCTAGCAGGACCCTCCAACACACGCAAAAAAAGTTTACTATACATTAGAAATCAATTATTACGTCCACAGGTGAAGTCTTAAAGCACAATGAACATTATCTTGAACACACTGAACATTAAACATTGATAAATGCATCTTTGAGGGTTGACTACTCAACGTATTACCGAGTAATACTTGAGGAGTTGTTGTTATAGATTCAGCTACTCGGAACAAGTTCCAAGTAGCACGGGCTATGGTGAGCCCCTAGAGATAATACTTGAGGAGGGTTTGTGTGTTGGGTTTTACTCATAAACACGGGATTGGGCAGCTAGATTAACGAGCCGTTGTTTATGAGGCCGTGAAGTGATTCGGAGCGTTGCAAGCTTGTAGCATAACAAGTGAGCTCCGTCGAACATTGCAAGCACTCACACGAGCATAAACGTGCGTTGATGACCAGACCACACACTAGAAGTTGAAGGGACGACGACGTTTCGGTCCGTCCTGGACCATTCTCAAGTCGATTCCCTTCGTCGTCGTCCCTTCAACTTCTAGTGTGTGGTCTGGTCAACATACTTCAGCCACGTTATTGTGACTCTTCGCCTGCAACCTGTGTTGAATTTCTCACCCGGGCAGTTTGTGTATGCAAGGGAATGCAACGTAATATATTATGCACTTTGTACATTCAAATAATTCAGTGCCATGTGTGTGTTGGATATGGCGATAAATCGAAGACAAACTTCAGGAAAACATGTATATTATACAGGGAAGGTGAAGTGTTTATGAACTCAGGGGAGCTCTCACCTTGTCCTTAGTCATCTGGTCTCAGCCCCTCTTTACTCAGCTGCTCTCACTCTCTCCTTACTCAGCTAGAGACAAGATAAGGTGGGGATGAATAGGATGAGGTCGGGAATAAGGGAAGAGGAACAGCAGGTAACAAATGTAATTGGTTGTAACGACATCCGCTATACACATCCTTTGAACACGTCCTTTTCACATCTCTATCGTATGTGCATCTTTCGCACATTCCTATGTTATGCACAAGGGAACTATTAGGGGGGGAAAGCGCCAAGCCATTACAACTATATAGCACTGGGAAGGGGTAAGGATAAGGATTTGGGATGGGACGGGGGGGAAGGAGTGGTGCCCCAACCACTTGTGGACGGTCGGGGATTGAACGCCGACCTGCAAGAAGCGAGACCGTCGCTCTACCGTCCGACCCAAGTGGTTGGGCTATGTTGTGCACAGCTTTAATATACATCGTTCTCTTGTGCACAGCTGTGGCACAGCGTGCTGGCGATTTACAACAGCGACAAACTCGTCAGCCGTCAAATTGTGTTCGTGTTCCGGTCATGTCGCCGGAACTAGTTTATATCCACCACCAAAGTTCATGGCAACAGAAGCGAGTTATTTCCTCAAAACGTCGTTTATGTCTAAATAAGTCAATTAAGTCTTCGAAAATAGTTTATATTAAACATTGTTTCAAAAGTTTAAGCAAATTGATGTACATCAAAGGGTCGTGTATCTCTGACGACCAGAGTGTACCGTTGTATCAAGGCACCAACTGAACGATCACTAACTGAACGACCCAATCTGACCCGGAAGTTGACGCGGAAGCCAAGCGCCCACAGTATATCAACATTGTTTCCCGTATTCGAACGCTGTCAACCGGTTAACACGCTTCCTCGTTTATCCGGACGCCTCTGGAGACACTTTCATCACCTACTACGTGCCAGATGAAAGAGTCTTCACTTCCCCTTCCTTCTGTAGTCCGTTTATCATAGCTTCTCCCTCCCTCCCTCCCTCCCTTCCTTTGTGGCTCCTGCGCCGACGTCTCACCTCGCCTGTTTTTCTCTCTCTCCCCCCTCTCTCGCTCGCTCGCTCTCCTCTCTCTCTCTCTCCCACCCTCTCTCGCTCGCTCTCTCTCTCTCTCTCTCTCTCTCTCTCTCTCTCTCTCTCTCTCTCTCTCTCTCTCTCTCTCTCTCTCTCTCTCTCTCTCTCTCTCTCTCTCTCTCTCTCTCTCTCACTCTCTCTCCCTCTAGTTGTGTGTTAGTTGGCACTTCAATTAGTTATGATAATGTTGAGTGGCACTTTGTGGGTTGACACTCTTCACCAGATTTCGCTACATGAATGCCATCAAATCATCAGTTCTCGTTACATCAGTGCTATCATTGTAGCAGCTCTGTGACATCAATGCCATCAATCCGACGTTTTTCGTTGCATCAATATAACATCTCATTGATGCCATCAATAAAATCGATCTCTCTCCATCAATGCC